TCAAACAACCTAAATGAATCCTCTCATTGGCCTGGATGTTAGAAGTCCAAAGTCAAGTGCCAGGAGGGTCATGTTCCCCAATGTAGCTCAGGGGAGGCTGAGCCCTTGCTCCTCCAGCTGCTGGTGGCTGCCAACCATCTTTGGCATTCCTGGCATATGACAGATAACTCCAACCTCTGCTCTGCAGTCATCTGACCATTCTACCGTGTCTTTCCTCTGTGCACCTCTGTGCCTACATTTCCCTCTTCCTACAAGGACACTAGCCATTGGACTGTGGCCCACCGAGGAGGACCTCATCCTGATTCAATTACATCTGCAAAGACTGCCCTTCAAAATAAGGTTGCATACATAGGTGTGCGGGGCGGGGGTGGGAAGGTGGGGGCTTGAACATATCTTTTGGGGCACAAATCAATCCACAGAATCAGCCTATAAACTCTCTCTGAGCTTAACCACTTTGGTTTGGGTTTTTGATCCTTTGCACCAAGCAAGAGGCAGAGCCAAACTTTGCCCCCAAGTCTCTTAACATCTTCAGAATCAATGTCAATAACTGAGATCTAAGCTGGATCTTCATAACTGGAAGGGGTGCGGTTTCCTCACTCCCTCTTGTTAGAATGAGCTTTTTCTCTCACTCCTGGTCATTACCGAACCTAACTGGGCTTAAGTGGGGGGCGACTGGAGATTCAGAAAAGACACAAGACAGACAGACACAAAGTGGGGTCAGGTGTGTTGGGTGCTCGGGTGGAGACACCCAACCCTAACTGCTTCTTTTCTTTATCTTTATTCTTTAAGGCCTTACTCCTTGCAGCTCTTTAAAGCCTTGCTTCTAAAATCTTCTTTAAAACCTTGCTTAAAACCTCTTTCCTTAGACTTGCACTGTCCCATGTTTTCTCTTAGCTTGTCTGTAGCTTCTAAAGCCTATACTAAAGTTCTTTCTTTGACTTTGTTTTTCTAAGGCCTATGTTAAAGTTCTCAGTGCAGACTTTTTATCAACCCCTCTTCAGCCATTCTTTTCCCTTCAGTAATTCTTTTCCTTTCCAAAGCTTCCCACACCAAAAAGCCCAAAACAAAAGAACCAAGCCAAAGCCCCAAAAACCCACCAAAGCAAAAAAGCCCAAGGCAAAAAGCCCCTCGTCCTCCTTCAGGGATCTATTATTAACTGTGGCAAACAGGGTGGAGCAGAGGCTCTCAGGGAGGGGCGTAACATTGTGACAGGAGAAACTTGCATTCCTGCTTCTCTGAACACAAGCTTAGAAGATGCAGCTGTTCTACTTTTTCTGTTTCCTGACCAGGGCTGTACCTATCTCAGCCTACAGGTAAAAGCAATTAAGCCACAGCTTGCCTTGCTTATGTCCAGTTCTCATAGGCTTTTCATAATCCCTCTGCACACATAACCAATCACAGGGTGAACGTGTGCACACTCTACTTCTCATTATCAAAATGCTTGACTTTCGATTGAGGCCCTGGGCTCACTGTCTTCTATCTGCCTCACATCCACTACAAACAACATTCTCAAGTTAAACAAGACTGATTGCTCTCCAATTAACTAACCAAAATTCAAATAGTGTGATTGAACTAGACATCGGTCATAAGTGAGAGATGACCAAGATTTTTATCTTGAAAATATAAAGTCACTGATTGATTGCATGGTTGCATTTGAGATTTCTCCATCATGGGAAGCTCCCCTCAGGTAATAATAAGAACATCTGCCCCTCCAAGACATTTAATTTCCAGGACAGAGAACCAGTCATGCCTCTTTCACACATTTGTCTGTGTTGACTTCGGGGCCTGAGAGAAGGCTGTAATTTCAGCTTGTTATACTAAAAATGTGAAAATAAACCTGATCTCTGTAGGCTCATTTTAAATGAAAACTCATGCCTTAGAGGCAAGTCAAGGAAGCTGATGGAAAGAGAACAGGGCTCCAGGCAGGAAGGGCAATGGAGTGAAGACCCAGGAGGGAGGCAGAAACAAGACAGTCTACAGAAATAGATGGGAACCCATCACAAAGCCCATTTGGCCCTGGTCAGATGTGCAGTGATGTCTCCCCCAGTTCCTGCTTCTGGGTCCCCAAATCACTTAGAAACACAACCAGCCACCAGCCACACTCTTCCTTGATCTTACTTGGCTGGGTACCAGACCCAGTCCATAGGACTGGGTTATGGAGCCTGGCCAGCCAAGAGGGTGGGCAGACAGTTTCCTGGGCAGCTGAGCTTGAGAGAAAAGCAGCACAAAGCCCCACCCTGACGTACTTTCCAGCACTACGTATATTAGGTTTCTGTGGCCATTGTAACAAATTGCCACAAACTAGGGGCTTAAAACAACAGGAATGGCTTCTCCCACAGTTATGGAGGCCATGAGTCAACATCGAAGCCTCAGCAGGGCTAGTTTCTTCTGGGGCCCTGGGTTTCTCATTCCTTGGCTTGGCATTCCTTGGCTTGTAGCTGCATCACTCCAACCTCTGCCATCTTCACATGCTCTTCCTCTCTGCATCTCTCTCTTCCCATAGCCTTCTCCCCATGTCTCTGCATCTCAAATCTCTCTCCTTTCTCTTAAAAGGACACCAGCCATTATTTAGGGCCTGCTGTAAATCAAGGGTAATCTCATTGCAGGATCCTTGACTTAACTATATCTGCAAAGACCCTATTTCCAAATAAAGTCATCTGCAGCTACTGGGGGTTAGGACTTAGATATATCTATAGGGACTTTGGGAACACAATTCAATGTACTACAGTACTTTTGGAGAGATCCCCCAGAAATTTGCATTTTCCACAGGTACCCAGAATGACTGATGCAGGTAATCTACAGGTCGTACTCTGAGAAAGTTGATCCAGTTGCTGGGGATTCAAAGATGAATAAGACATGGTCTCCTGACCTGGAGAACCTACTGCCCAGTGGAAAATATGGACAGCTGAACTAAAGACAAAAATACAAAGTGTCACCTAGTGATCTCAAGCAAGTTTCTGGAGTCAGGCAGACTGGGGTTCAAATCCTTCTTCCTCTACCTACCAGCTGTGGGGCTCTGAGCAAGTTTTTTAGCCTACAGAGTCACAGTTCCTTTATCTGTATAAGACATAATCCCTTATGAAATAGAACAAGGAAACCTTTTGCAACTGTTTTAGATGGGGGGAAGGAGATTAAGGGGAGAGATGGTGTGGGCGAACCTAACCAATGAGCACTGTGTGCATATTCATAAATGTCAAAATGAACCCCCACCCTGTAATGTGTGCTAATAGAAATGCTTTGAGAGGGCTGGCGGAGTGGCTCAGGTGGTAGAGCACTTGCCTTGCAAGAATAAGACCCTGAATTTAAAGCCTGGTACTAACCAAAAAAAATGCTTTGAGAAAAAAAAGAAAAGAAAGAATCTCTACCTGTGTCACTGTGAGACTGAAGCTCAGATTGCTAAGGAAAATGTTTAACAGCTTCATGTATAACGCTTAACATGCAGGACACATTTAAGGAATAGCTGTTAGTTACTATTAGTGCAGAGAGTAAGCTAAATTCATTTTTACATACTCTGTGTCCCCTGCCTCTGTGCCCTCTGAATTCTGGGTCTTTAATGAATGTTGGTGTAAAGCAAGTTCCATTACTCCAGAGAAACTCAGTTGGGATGGAAAGAACAGCTCCTTGGAAAGACCCATTTCGGGATTTGTGTACTTTTTCGAGAAGCATCTGTTGGTCACCTGCTGGGGATGGAGCTCAGTGTGTCGCACTGTGGGGTTGGAGAGCCAAATAAATCACATGGCCCACGCATTCAATTACAATGTGGCCAGCCGAAGTGGAGGTGCCCCCCACCCAGAGGCACACTGACGGGACACCCACACACAATTCAGCACTTGATTGCATTCCATCCTTTAGCATGGCTCCCAGACTGTACCAATAAGTCTCAGGAGGGAAGGAGGGGTTGTCTGCCTAGCTGACCACTGAATTCTAAGCAGGTAACAATGTATCTGACTTCTAACAGGCATTTCACACTTATTTGTTGGACTTTTGAATATTCTGCTGCTATTTCAGAGCTCAGCACTGGATTTCTATGGAAAAGAGCTGGACTGGTAAGGAGGAAAGGCTCCTTAACTATAAGTGTGATTCTTGATGGGTCCAGAGACAGGGTCCCCAGTGGATTCATCCCTTGACATAAAACCCAACAGTTGGGGCAGATAGAGCTAGGCTGTAATACAATGTATCCTAATACATTGTATCCTAATACATTGTATTGCATGTTGGGAGAGCTTTCAATGCTAGACCAACATCAAACAAACTAAACCAGGCACATGCTCCAAGGCCCCTTCCTCATCAGGAATTCATTCCTGGCACACACTGGCCATTAAACAGCCAGGTGACACGGGGCACTGCCAGCACAGATGGTAGAGACACGGGATGATAAGAACCTGAGAGAGGGAGACATGGGTACCTCTCTCACCTGGAGAAACCAACAGCCTCTCCTGCGCCAACAAACTCAGGGGAAAACAGCACAGGAGTCTGAAGGCGGACCCCCAGGCATGGTTATGACAAAGTCATATGAGGGGCACGGTGCTCCCAGTGTCCACAAACCCACTCACTTCTGCACCTGCCTCGCTCCTTTCGAGCGCGGCTCTACCACCTGACACACAGTAGGCGCAGTGAACGAGTGTCCAGTGAATTGAGCAGGTGAATGGGTGACCGGCTGCGGGGACCCTGACTGCCTCATCTGAAACACCTGGCCCAGGTGTCACCACGGGGCCCGGATTTCCCCTTTCCGTTTCAGCACCAGGCGTCCAATCGCTTGCCTCCAAAACAGTGGTGACCTGGTGACCGAGCGCCAGGTGGGGCCGGGCTGCCTCCCATCCCGGATCCCGGGGTTGCTCGGATCTCTCCGGCTCCTCCCCACGGCTGCCACCAGCTGGCGCTGGGGACAGTGGCGCCCGGTGGCCCCCGGGGTGCGGAGGAGCGGCTCCTGGCGGGTGGCCGCGGCCATCGGCGGCGTTTCCCCGCGGTCCCCGCGCGTCCCCGCCCGCGCCCGGCCTCACCTCGCTCACCAGCCCCTGCCAGTCGCTCTCCGTGCGGTCGCCGTTCATGGCCTCCTGCTCCCTGCGCGCTTCACGGACGCCTTCCTCCTCCTCCTCCCCTTCCTCCCGCCGCCCCGAGAGCCCCGGCGCCTCCCAGCCCCGCGCCGCCGCCTCCACGTCAGCCTCGGCGGAGGAAGGGGAGGAGGAGCCGCGGCCCGCCCGGCCCAGACGCCGCCAGGCCGCAGCCAGGCCCAGGGGCCCGGGCCCGCTCCCGCTCCTGGAACGGGGGCGGGGACATCAGCCCGCAGGTGACTCTGGCCTGGCCATCCTGCCCTCTGTCCGGCCCCAGGGAGCTGAGCGGGCAGCTCTGTCCACCCCCCACCCCAAAAAAGCCAGTCCCCAGTCCATCACCATGAGCCCCCACTGGAACGTAAGCGCCACCAGGAAAGGGACTTTGCTGTGCTCAGTACGGAAGGTTTGGAACAATCCTGGCACGTAGTAGGTGCTCTACAAATACCTGTCCACATGAACGAATGAACCAAGATAGTATAGGCTTATCACGGCTTTTAATGCTCCTACCATTTGCTTTAAAAAAAAAAAAAGTATCGACTGTCATAAATAGAAAGCAAATGTAAAATTTGAAAATATTATTAAGTTGTGACTAGAGTCCAAAGCTCTGAGTGTATGCTTGGCATGAGTCAAGACAGGTGTTAAAGACACCAGTACAGCCTGCTTCCTCATGGGTCACTCACCATAGCCAGCCTTCCATGCTACCCAAAACACCATCTGTGCAGATGAGCTTGTAGGTTGAGAAGGTGTGAGCTCATTTCATAGTAGTGGAAGCATTACGGCCAGTGTTTATCACTTTTAGCTCCTGTTGATCCTGAATCAATCCCATAAAATGGAAGTTATCACCACTGGTCAGATGGGGAAAATGAGGCCTGAAAAGTGAAGAAACAGGTTTAACTAGGACTTTTGGACTCGTCAACCTATCACACCTTGAAGTTGAAAATACTGAGCTCTGTTCTTGGCTTTTTTGGTGGTGTGGTAGATTGCTTGCAAGGATGTAGTCTTTCCTTGTCCCTGCCATTTTCTCTAACTTTGACTCTGGGCTCAGTTACATGACTTGCTTTGGCCACAGCAATGTTTGCAAATTGTGCTACAGAAAGAAGTTCAGAAAGCATGTGGGTAGTGAAGCTTATTCTTGCTCTCAGCTCCTGGGAATCTGTGCTCATCACCATGGATACAAGCTCAGAATAGTTTGCTGAATGACTTAGGACTCCTGGTCAACAGTCAATCAACCTCCAGATGCATGAGTGAGGCCACTGGCCCCAGCTGGGCACAGGTGCATGGGTGAGCCCAGCTGTGACTGCAGAAGAACCACCCAGCTGAACCTTGCCCAATTTGCTGGCTCACTGGATCACATCCTAAGTAAGTAGTTGCTTAAGCCACTGAGGTTTGGGGGTGGTTTATGGAATATCAACAGGTAAGATATCAGCAGGTAAGGTTTATGGGATATCAGCAGGTGGTATCTCTGTTGACAAAGGGCCTAAATGGCTTGAACTCTCTCTGGCAGTCCTTAACAAGCAACTGTGTCTAGCATCAGAACCAAAGGAGCCTCTGTGACAAGACTTGGCAGGCCAAGGGGCTATGAGACCAAGCCAGTCTACTAGTCAACACATTGATTTTGTACCTGTTGTATGCAAATACTGTTCTCATCCTGGGGAAAGTCAAGAACTCTGCAGCCCATGGTCCTTGACTTTCAGAATTTATAAACAAATATGCTACAGAACAAGTAGAGAAAAAGAAAGGATTAGGATGTACCTAAATATCCTAGTTTTCTGACCATTTGGGGCCACCTAACTTATTCTCTTTTCAGTTGAAGAGGTAGAAAAATCATCTCTGGTTGGAGCATCTAGGGTAAATTAACTCAAAGACAAGCTCTTGCTTCTTATAGCCTATCTCTGCCTCACCTAAAAAGAAAGATACTGTCTACCAATGTATTGCCTTCTGGCAAAATGTCTGTTTTTATTCTGACCTGTCCGTGAAATAGACTGTAGGGAGAGTGGGCAGAACTTTGTCCATCTGCCTTGCTCTCTGCGGGACTCTTGGAGGAAGAGCCCCTTCCAGTTACCTGGTGTGCTGAGCCTTTCAGCCCTGCTGCTGCTGAGTGGAGCCATCACAGGTATGTCAGACAGCAAAGAGACGAGCAACAGCTGTTGGTACCCAAGGAATCATCCCATTAGAGACCGTGGACCTTAAAGTCAACCCTCTGTGACTCCACTTCCCCTACTGGCTTTCCTTCCATGAAATAAGTCAGATAGTTATCCATGTATTTAAAAATAAAATTGGGTAGAAAATCAAAACACCAACCCCAGCGTGCACAGAAACCTTCTGCACAGTCAAACACTCATCTCCAGCTGCCTTAGTTTTCCTTAGAGGTTTCCTGCCTTAAGTGCCCATGAGATGTGATGAAATCACAGATAAAGGCACTGTGGCTGCAAGTGATTCTTTTTTATCCTTTCATTTATGTAGCCTGACATTGAGTAATAATAATAATTAAATCCAGTTTAAGCTTTTAGGCACCTATACCAGAAGGCCCCTAGACACCTCACAGCGGCAGCATTGCCTGGTAAAAACAAACATAGTTACATGTGGTTAACTGTTTTCAAAGTATAAATCAATAAAAAAAAAACCTCACCCTCTTTAACTCTGATGAAGGCAGTGAGTTCAATGCCCACCTAACCCTTGCATACACGGGACCTGTTCAAAACCAGGTGCCCTTGTCTTCAATTTGCTACCCTGGCACAACTGAAAAGTTGGCTTTAGCCTCTGTTTTCACAGAAAATCATCTCTTGGGACCCAATTTTTCCATAAGTATTCATAGCCCGAGGCCAGTTTTCATTTATTTATATGTGCCTACAGTGGGAGGAGAAATACTTGGATGCTGTTAACTGATATTTCACACTTTTAAAAGTTTGAGAGGGATCTAATGTAGAAAAGTCCAAAATAGCTTAATCTAAGAAATCGACCTAGTACATACTGATGGAAACAAACAAACAAGCAAACTCTCTGGAGAGACAGGGAAAGAAAAGGCAACTTGAACAGATTGCTACAAACTTCAGTATCTCGTTAGAGGTTCTCTGCTGACCATACCATCACCGGCCCTGTCCCAGCAGCCCCAACACAGGGGAAAGCTCCAAGGCTTTTCATAAGCCTTCTCCAGTTAGCATCTTCCATGTGGATTTTGACTACCTAAGCAAAAATTCAGAATTCTCATTAAAGGAAACACCACACATCCAGGAGCAGAGTTGGGGCAATATTCATGACTCCTTCTTTCCCCAGTTGTTCTTCTCCTGCCTGAATTATTAAAAGAAAAAACATCTGGAAAGAAAAGGATGCTTAGTAATCGTGGTTTCCAGTGGTGTGTGTGTGTGTGTGTGTGTGTGTGTAGCTCTGTTTGAGCCAAGGTCCCCAGTTCTTGCTCTTGTTAAGGGATCATTTCCACAGGTCTTGCTAGGATTCTCCATGGCCTGGCTGCTAAATGACTTCCTTTGCTCTCAAATTTAGCCCGGATTCAGGGGACTTCAGGTCTAGCTGTGCCCGCAGAGCTCTGAGACCTGAGGTCCCCAAGACTGCTGGCCTCGATTCTGTGAAAAACAAATCTCTCACTCTTCTCCTACCTAAGGGACCTCATCCTACAGACCACCCACCAGCAGGGAGGATTCGGGCAGGGTTCCTGATTCTGGGCATCTTCTGTCTCTCCCAGCTCCTGGCCCTCTCTGCCACCTCCACTAAGCCATCCCTGCCCCCAGCAAACAATCACCAGTGTGCTGCCCCCTCCAGTGTTGCTGGCTGCCAATCAGCTGGGCAGCAGGGGGTGGAAGGAAGTTCCACTTCCTGCTGAACTGCAGCAGAGTCGTTCTAAATGATTGAGTGAGGCTGATGACCACCTGGCAAGCTGGGGACTGCAATTGTCATCCTGAGGGGGCAAGGGCTTGAGTGTGATTGGCTTTTGGCATGGGGGGGAGGGGGAAGCAGTGTTAGGGAGGAGTAGAGGCAAAAGGACAGCTCCCTGGATAGGTGGGAGACTGAGATGTCAAGAGGAAAGGGGACCTGCAGGGAAGTGGGCTGCAGGAGGCAAGGAAGGAAGTGAGAGACCAAGGGAAAGGGCACCCGATGAGAGACCAGAAGATAAAGAGAGATGAACTGAAAATCTTGGGTGTTGGGGACGGTGGGAGAAATCCAAGCCAGGACCATGGAAGGCATGGAGAGAGTTGGCCTGCGAAGGAGTTAAATGGAGAAGTCAGGCAAAGTCACTGTCTCTTCAAATGTGTTAGACTTATTGATAATGTATTTAATTTCTTCTGCATGGGGGGGAAATGAGTCAGCACAAATTTGATGTAAATTTATGGTAATGATAATGCAGAGAGGCTGCAGGCCCTGAGCTGCTGGTGGGTCGGCTGGGTAGCCCTCATCAAGACGAGGTGACTGCTCTCTGGACTTGGCAAACTGAAAATAGAAATGTCTGACTTGGAGGCCATTGGCCTCTCCTGCAGGCCAGCAGAGGGACTGACCCTGTCACTCTGGAAAACTTATGGGAAAAAAAAAAGAAAAAGAAAAGCGCCCATGACTGTCCAAAATAGGGTCATCCACATTGTCTTCCTAATTTTTCTGAGGGTGGGAGATAGTTTTTACCCAGCAAATATTTGTGGGCCATTTTAATGGGAAAGGGGAAAGAAGAAGAGAACAAATATTATATAGAACCTACTGTGTGCACAAAATTAGCTATGAAGTGAGAGAAATGTTCATTCTTCTGCACTGTGAAGAATAATAGTGCTTGGGGGGAACGAAGGCAATTTGATAGAGAGGGTGAAAAGGTGGCATGCGTGAAAATGGTGAACTATTTATTGTCCTTCAGATCCCTGGACATGGACTTTTATCTCCCCTCAGACCAGGTCTGAGGGTGTGTCTAAGGGTGTGCCTGTCCCCGTCCATGGCAGCCTCTCCAACCTGGCTGTGTCCAGAAGCATCACAATTTGGGAATCACCTCTCTGGACCAGGCCTTGTTTTGCAACTTGTGATTGAATGGAACAGAAGAGTCAAGACACCAAGCCCTGGGAGCAGAGCTCAGTGGAGGGATGCTTGCCTAG